CACTCTATAAGGTGTTACTTTTTCTTATCCTTTATAAAGTTAAATTTTTTTTGACACTTTATAAAGTGGAAGAAAAAAAATTCTACTTTACAAAAAGGATTTTTTTTACATGTTACATTAAATTATGTATCTTTATACGGTTTTTGCAGTATTTTTCATAGAATTATATTGTTTTGACATATCATAAAAACGGAAAAAATTATTACATTATGTATTTTTATCGTTTTTAATTTGAAAACTCCTCCAAGCTCTATTTAAGCTCGATCAAACATAGCACCTTCAACATCTTTAATATTCTATTTTTCTTCATTTCAATCACAAAAAATGTCTTCTCAACCAAAAGTTAGAGTATATTTGTCCAAAAACTATAGTAACTGCAAAAACCGCATAAAGAGACATAATTTAGTGTAAGTGTAAAAAATTCCTTTTTGTAAAACAATTTTTTTTCTTCTACTTTATGAAGGGTAAGAAAAAGTTAAGTTACAGTTTATAAAGTGGAAAAGAAAATTCATATTATATTAAAATATAGACGTTAAGAGTCTAATTTTTGCCATTTATATCTTTTGTGTAAAACGGAAGAAAAAATTATGCTAAGCCTATTTTAGTTACTTTCTAGAATTGTAGCTTATTTTGGTCAATTTTATCTGTCACTCAAATAGGTTCCGGACTCTAGAGTTAGTGACCCCATGTTTTACTTACTATAATCATAAAATTTTCATCCTATGAAACCAATGTTGATCGAACCAATGAAATACTAGCATCAACCAGAATCTGAACTTTTGATAATCCATCACGCAAATGGACTTTTTGGTGATGAAAGAAGCAGGACTTGTTTCTCTGCTTTTGATGTTTTATGACAAAAGAATTGGTCTTTCCCCAACTATTTTACCATTCTAAGGCAGGATTTAGCTCCTAAAGATATATATCAGGCAGAGAGATTGCAAAGCAAATACTCCTTCGGTCCCAATTTATGTATTACTCTTTTTTTTAGTCAGTCCCGAAAACATCTTTCTGTAGTTTCTAACAGTTTAACTTTAAACTTTTCATTTTACCTTTAGTGAGATAATTTATAGCCACAAAGATATCTATGGTTTTTTGTTGATTTAGCTTCTCCTACAAAAATAAAACTCAGTGTTCAAGTTTTAAGAGTTGTCCTTGTGATGTGTTATAGTCAATATTGATTTTCTAGTTCAAAAAAGGTTTGTTCAATTGTAAGATTTAGTTTGTGAGGATGTCAGATGCTGATAGTCTACAGAAATGATATGGGCCTTTTATTTGGGCAACTCATATTCATTATTATTCTAGTTATGTCTTGATGTGTTGTGATTTTCTGGGAGACATGATTGTATATGGATGATGATTATGGTGTACATTGTAGGACTTGTTTGCATGCTTCACATATTTTATGTAGTCCTGCACTTCTGGTTACTAATTTACTGGAATGTGTCTCAAGGATCCTACTTAGTTTAGGTTTACGTTCTTGAACAATGTTCTATTGGCCTTTTCCATTCAGCGTTGCATTTTACATTATGCTTATTTACTTGTGAAAGAAATATGATGCCTGTTGGATGCAGTGTACATATGGAGAACCTTGTCAGATAATTTGATGTCTGTTGGGTGTGCTTTGTAACGTTGGTACCTTTGCCTTGGTTACCTAGATTATTATTATTTTTAATTGTGCCTCTGTCCTTTTTCTTTTTAAAACATTTTCTTGCTGTTATGTATCAGCATCATTGGCATACTGGTATTGATAACCTTAGCATCGTTGACGTTCGTTACTTTGGTACTTCTGATGATTATATCCATGTGCTTTTGCTTCGTTTATCACTTTGATCTTCGAGTGCAACAAACTGCGTCTTGACTCCTCGCCTTCCTCTCGAGATAACATATGGCTTAAGGTTGTTTTTGTTTTTTCTTTTGGGGCATGCTTTTGTAGGGTGCATGGCGGCTTTGGATGCTGAACATTACTTGCAAGAAATTGGTGCCCAAGTGGGAAAGAGTGATTGATTGCTTTGTGTTGTTCCATTGAAGTAGCTCTGGTACTGGAGTTGCTGCAAAGGTCTGGATTGATTTGATATCTATGTATTAAGAATTTGTTTCCTCGCTAATGTTTATGATTGAAATGAATATACGTATATTTTTATTAAATGATTGTTTGAGCGACGGTTCATCCCTTGTTAAACAATGAGGTCGAAGCATCCATCAATCAATGAACTCAACTTAGTAATTAGAGTTTGGGCAAATAGGATAGCTTGGAGATCGGATTGATTATGTTATTTCTTCTTTTCGTTTTCTCCAGTCGAGTAATGATCATTCTATACTCCTGTGATTGAGGTTTATAATGAAGTTGCAACAAGCTTGATGGTAACTGTACCAAATTAATTCAATTGTTATTACTTACATTGGCTTTAAAGCCTCAACGGTTATTACTTCTTAATCAAATATTAATTTTCGCGATTGGTATTTGTAACGTTTCCCATAATTACGCATCTCATTTACATCATATCTTAATTGGCCTTTTATCACATTTTTTTCAGCCATTAATCCTTCTTCAAAACGACAGTGGACAGTGAAGTCCTTAACTTCCGTTGTGATCTCAGAAATTAAGTCTGCAACAACCTCAAATAAAAATGAAATATCTATTTTTAATACACGAACAAGTAAAATAGAAGGATGGGAGTATATATTAATGGTTAATTTGAGTTTCATATCAATGTGACAATCCAATGACTGGTTATTACTAACTTAAATTTTAATTCCATATTTTGCATCTTGCAGCTATGAATACATTACAGTCTACTTTATTCACTTTATTCACTCATAGTCATGGATGGCTAAGTAGGTGAATCGATAAGTTTAGGCGTTCATTTAGATGCAAAGTTTGGTGAAAAAACACTAGAAACATTTATTTAGGTTTTCTTTCTTTGGTTTCTTATTTACTGGAGTTCGTATTGGAGCATTGCCTACTGCAGGTCATATTTGGGGTCGACACTTTTAAGATATGAACACAAGATCTTTGATTAAGAGTGAAGCAGTCTCATTATTGCACATGACGAAGAAATTGTTGACCCCGAAAGATCCTCTCCCATCATAATTATTATTACTCCCATGAGTCCCCACAGAGTTTACAAACTTTAGTTAGTTTCCAATTTAGGGTTAGACTTTTATTTGGTATTAATCAAAGGCGCTCACAATAAAAAGAAAAAAAATCTCACATTTCATCATTGATATAATGCGAAATTATTCAACAGAAAATAAAGAAAATATGTCCTTTACACTTTATAGGTATAAGTCATGGTAAGAGTTAATTTTTTAGATGATCAATAAATTAAAATTATTTATTCAAAATGTCTTCATCTTTTTTATAATTCAAAATCATTTAATTATTGATATATTGCTCACGAAATTTCTCAACCTTTTTAGGTGACGATGTTTCCATTTCATTTTGTTGACAAATTTTTGTATTTATTTTAACCTAGATTTGTATAAATAGCATGACATCCTTTGTTCATCATTTTGTTGACCCTCCCCCACTTAAATCGATCCATTTGTTTTTCCCCCTTTGGAATCAATGATTATTCAACTTATTATACATTTATAAGAAATACAAATCATTGAGACGGAAGTGGAAGTTTATTTATTTATAAGATTTCTTGGATGTATCATCACTAATTGAACGGAAGTAATAGACTGCTGAATTAATTCATAATAATGAGAACAAAACATCTAAATCATTTAAATTAAATTAGACAGCAAATTTGGATCTTCCCATAATCATTCTTGACTCTTTTTTTCCCTCTCATCATCATCAGCAATTTGACACTTAATACTATTTAAGTAAAACCACTTTGTTGATTTGCTTAGATGAAACATTTATTTCTAGTGTAGGATTTGAATAAAATGGAATAAGAAAGCAGTAATAGTACTAATTAATTAATTAAGAATAGATCTAAATTTTCAGTATAATCATCCAGAGCAAAAGTCAATAATTTTTTGTACTAAAAAGAATCATAGTATAAATATATAGAAATAACTTGAAATGATATGGTTCCAGATCTGATAATACTCTTTCCTTTAAACATTACTATGATAGTCTCTTTTTTTCTTCTCATTGTTATTTTGTGAGAGAAAAAATAAAAGGGTATCATATTTGACCTATATAGTTTTAGCTGGTTGTGCCAAGTGATTGCAAATCAACAAAATAATTAGGTAATTTTTTAAGTGAACTACTCGTTGAGTGAGTATATGAGAGCCAAAAACCGAAAAGTTTACGAGAATAGCACATTGTTTTGTTCATTGTCCAGGTAAATCGTCTTTTAGAATATTATAAATAAGATACAGAGAGTGCGAATATAAACCAAGATTAGCGTAAATGATTCTGTTTTAAATTCTCTTCTGACTTGGATCCATAATTGTGAATTAGAATAATTTATAGTTAATTAAATAGTAGTAGTGGTGATTTGAAGACCCCAAATACAACTAATCTTCACATGAACATGACAGATGTGTCAACTTTAAACGTGTTTAGGCACATAGATCCAGAATAAACAAACAAAAATGATTGAAATAAAGAAGACAAAAAAAAAAAGAGAATCATATACAAAAGCATAGTTTCTGAGTAAATATTAAAATGGCATTACACTCCCTAAATTACAAACAATACAACAGAGAGCAAATTACAAGTTTAACCCCCACTGGACACTGGTAACTTTCCACCTAACATCATCAGAGATGTTCACTAAATATAATATTTGCAGAAACAAAGAGACCCTACACCCTCACATGGCTTCATAGAAAAAATACATACAACACATTCCAACTTGTTCTTGAATATTCCCCACATTATTAATTCATGAACAAAGAAGATCTTTAATACATTACTTTTATATTATAATTTTGGTTCAAAGTACTTCTTCTGCTGCAGCTAGATCTCCCTAATTCTGAAAATTTTATTCCTATTCTTTCTTTTTATTGGGGGGGGGGGGGGGGCTAATTAATCCTCAAGAGGAATTGATTACTTGGGAAATATCTTTGATAGATCTATTATATTTCATGTGACTTTTAACTAGTTGGCCAGCAGAGATAGCTGACATGAGAGATAGCTCACCAGCTAGAACAGAACCAGCTACTATTGTGGCCAACAGTCTTGCATTTGAACCTGGTGCATCTCTATTTGCACCTTTAACTCCTAGTAAGTTCAAGCAAGCTGACTGTGATGCAAGTTGAGTTCCACCACCTACGGTACCAACCTGAAATTCACAGGACAAATTAGCTAATGTGTATAAAACATGTGCAACTTTGTCTCTTCCTTCGCATGCCACTTAATTATGGACTGACTCAGGACACACCTAACCTGCCTGCTACAATGACAGGTTCTCACTCATTAAATGTCAAGGATGCTACATGTCAATATTTCATCTGGACTTATTCTACTACAATTAAATGAGATCAAAGCCTACATGCACTGGTAAGCGTCTCATATCAGTTGTTCACTTTCACCTCTAGTTAGAATTTCATATTAGTTGTTCACTTTCACCTCTAGACATCCATGAAGAAATTCTGTTAAAAATTTACGAAAATGATATTGTAACGGTAAAATGTAACTAATTTGAGACAATTATTTTTAGTAAAATGCACAACTAATATGAAATGGAGAGCATAATAATAGGAGCATGTTGGTTGTATACCTCAATAGAAGGCATAGTTACTGAAATATGGAGGTCTTTGCCATCATTTACAGCCTCCATCATAGTAATGCAGTGAGAGCTCTCAACATTTTGAGCAGGGTCTTGGCCAGTGGCCAAATATACAGCAGAGACGATGTTGCTGGCATGAGCATTGAAGCCACCGAGGGCACCAGCCATGGCTGACCCAGTAAGGTTTTTAAGCATGTTCAGCTCCACAAGAGCAGCAACCTCAGTTTTCAACACTTTCTTCACTACATCCTCCTTGATTATTGCCTCGCAAACTACTGATTTTCCTCTACCTTCAATCCAGTTAACTGCTGCTGGCTTCTTATCCGAACAAAAGTTCCCTGTCAATATTTCACATGATTCTCAATTAAATAAACATCTCGTGCATCAAGTTGCGGGAAAAAACTATGCATAAACAGGTCGATGGAATAATACCAGATATGCCAATGACGTCCATGTCTGGATATTCACTCTGAAGGTAATCCAGAACGTTCTGGACACCTTTGGATACCATGTTCATTCCCATTGCATCACCAGTGCTACAACTGAATCTCATATACAGATTTTTACCAGCTATAGCACATTGAATGCCCTGTAATCGAGCAAATCTGCTTGATCTGCAAAAATTTCCATTACAGAAACAAATTTTAAATTTTGAAAACATAATATTGAATAAAAATGCACATGACATGTAACTTTTAACATAAGCTTTCAATTAGGATACTAGATATGACAAATCATTTCTTTTCTCTTTGCTGGTGAATAAAGAATTTGTAACAGAAAATATTGAATCAAGATATAGAATTAAGAGAGAAGCAAAACTTAAATGTTTTGTCTTAATTGTTTCATACTAACTCTCACCAACAACGGATTGCTAAAATGGTAAGCATCCTCCAATCTTTTAACAAAAAGCTCACCAATTACGAATAGCTAGTACTCGTAGAAGAAACAATTAAGAATATACGTAATCATGAGAAGAAAACTCACTTGTTGAACATAAGAGAAAGAATCTCAAAGTTAAGGGGATCCTCAACGAAGAATTTCAACTCTGCGGCTCTTTTGGCGGTGGTGAACCGGACAACCGGAGCTCTTGTCATGCCATCTCTGAGCAAAATGCTGTTGGCGCCACCAGAGACAAAGATAGCCTTGCAACCCCTGTTGGTGCTAGCAACTAAACACCCTTCTGTAGTTGCCATTGGCACTGAGTACTCTCTCCCATCAAGCAACAAAGGCCCTGCAATACCAACCGGTATTTGCACATATCCTACAGGCATCTCACAGCATTGTCCAAGAATAGACTCATAGTCAAATCCTTCCAATGGGAGCCCTTCCAATGACTTCCCTGTGATCCTCTGTAACGCCTCTTTTCGAATCGAAGCAGCTCTCATACAATCACCAAGCTTTGATTCCAAAGAATATGATGGTGTTTTACCCTGAACAACAGATTGTATTATCTCCTCGTCATCTTCCGATAATGCTGGCATAATTATTGGCGCAGGCTTCTCCGTTTGGGACAAAGCTGCCTTGGCAGGTTGCTGTGGAACCATTGGGGCAATTTTTCGAACAGGTGGTGGAGGCACAACGCAGCCAAGAGTAGTTGCAGCAGCACATGGTCCCCGGCGGCTATCTTCCTCGATAATTAGCTGCTCAGCATTCTCATCCTCAATATCCCATGAATCACTATTCGACCTGGACACAAACGACTGAACAAACCCAATCCCAAAGAAACCCAATAGATATATAACGGAAGCAATCAATGACACCATAGCTAACAATTCAGAAAGGGTAACCACATGAAGAGGAATAGAATTACGGATCTTCTCACGCCACCTTACGAGAAGAAAATACATAACAGAGAAAAACATGGTGAAAAACAACCCATTGGTTAGGTACAATGGGAGTGGAAGCGCGTCAGATGCTTTAGGAGAAGAAACTTGTTGTTGTTTCAGAGGTTCGCCGGCGGAAGCATCTTTTGATGTGCATAAAGGCTTAACTGGTCGCCGGCGAACGTCCATTGTAAATTTAGTTGATTTTCCGGCAGGAACACCGGCTTTTTGAAAAGAAAAAAAAAGAGAAATGAGAGAGAGAGAAAGTCAAATGTGTATTAAGCAGTGATGGTTTGTGTGGAGAAGCGAAAGTAGAAGAAATGTATTTATAGAGTGAAAAGCGGTTGGCGCGCTACAATTTGGGGACACGCCCACCGCGTGTTGTTCGCCCCTCTGCTATTTGTAGTTTGTTTGGACGATTAATACTCCATCATTTCTATCATCATTATTAATTTCACATCACATTAAGTAAATATTATTTTTATTTTTATTTATTTTTTTTAAATCAATAAGTATATAAATTATTTTTATTAATTAATTTAACTAATAAATGTAAATTATTAAAATGTTAGAAATATGGTATACTAATTAATACTATCTATCCTTTTAAAATAAGATATATATTTTTTTAATACTATCTTGTATCTTCGTTTTAATTTGAGAATCTCATTTAACCCTTTTTTGAAAGGGGCACTAAATCCCCTCGTCTTAATTCAAAATGTAAAAGATGACCATAATTATTAGTACTATCATTTTGTGTAATTTTCTAAAAGTTGAAATGATTAACTAAAAGACGTACTTCCATCAATTTAATTTGGTCTATTTTTTTCATATTGTAGTTTTAAAATTAAATGTTTATCATACATTTCAAAATATTATTAAATCTTATGTTATTAAATATATCGTGTTAAAAGTAGAGATTAAAGAGTTGTTAAAAAAGAAAAAAATTATTTTTTATTAAACTTGTTACAAAAGAAAAAGTCAAAAATTATTGAAACAGAGGATATTACCGCATGTATAGCATGCAATTGAGTAATTTCATGTAACTTATTTTTAAAATGAAAATACATTTTAGGTTCATCTTTTGCATGAAATGAAAAATCACGTAGCATTAGAAAATCTTATCAAAATCAATTTCTTATTTGGTTTTATTATATTTTATTTTATAATTAAATAAATTATATATAAATAGAATAAATCTTAATAAGAATCGGATGCATTAAATTTTGCCCATCATTTAGTGTATTTTTCATCTAAAAAGGAAATTAATCGGATTAATAATAAACGTATTTATTAAATTAGCATATAATAACCTGTCCATATTTTGCTCAACTCAATTTTAAATCCATAATTTAGATTTCCAAATAATTTGTTATATGCCTCAACTACTTAGCTACCTGCCTACCTCCTCATTTTTATTTTTATTTTCTCTGTCTTTTAACTTTCTTATTTAGAGCTAAAGGGTAGTAGTAATTAGTTTTGATTTTTTCTTGCTTAGGGACAATTTTTATTTTATTTTATTTTATTTTTATAGAAGAAGGAGTCTTATATTGTTTGATTTGAAAAAATAAAATAAAAAATAGAAGGGCTTGTTCAAATTTTACTTAGCCAAGTTGACTGGTGAATTGGATAAATGGGAGTAGACACAAAAATGGATACAAGCACAAGAACTAAATTCCTTCTCGGATGATATTTGAGACAAATTCAAAATTTAAGTATAAAATATGGATAAATTTTTTTAGATTCACGTGATTATGAGATTGAGCTTTTATTATATCTAAGAATAAAATTTTGAAAAATATTTTTCAACTTTGATCGAATTTGCTGTTGCGATACTAGACTTATAGGGACTAATTACCTATATATTATTTAATACCGTATTTTAAACATATATATTTGTCCACTTGAACATAAAAATAATGTGAAAATATAACTAGTAATGTATCCACGTAGACACATATATACCTTTACAATATATTATTAAATAATTCATGAGATAAAAATACACTATTAACTAGTTCAGGATCGTATTGATCTACTGTATGCGTAAAATACCTAGTGACGTGAATTAAATTATACTATACAAACCTTTAGTAAATCGAAGGTGAATAAAATTATTTGTAAGTATACTTCATATGTCACGTGCTACCAACAACCACGTGATCCATCCCTTTTGGGTCAGATTCTTGCTTAAACAATTTGAGGATCCGATTAGTAACGTAATATGAAATTATGAGATTAAGTTAAAAGGTTATTTGGTATTGCGAGTTGAATATTTATATAGTTTGTTTTTTTATAAATTATAAATATAAAAAAATTTATAAGTTGTGAAACTATTAAAATAGTCCTAATTTTTTATATAATTTTACTAAATAAAAGTAAGTTTATAAAATCGCATAATATACAATTACAAAAATATTTTTAATATATATAATATTTATTGATTAAATTTTAATTCAATAACAAATAAAATTATACATAAGGTGTGGTACTAGACTTTACTCTTCAATATAATTCACCCACATAATACAGATAATCTTCTCATGTTTAACTTGCATTTGTCGTTCATAAGACTGAGAAGACGAATCAATACTGTCCCTTTGAGCCATTAATTGGTCAATGATTGGTAAATATATTTGATGACAAATAATGAATTTAGTGCATATAAACGGTAATGTCGAAATTCATTTGAAGTAATAATATTTTTTATATTAGTGAGAATAATCATTATATGAGATATAAATGATTTAAAAAGTAATAATATGAATGATAAATTTTATCTACATATAAAATTAATGGTTATTAAATATATACAGTATTGTTTTTACAACATATAAACAAACTCGTGTGATATTTTTATATTTGAAACTCTCAAATCATTATTTGAAATTCTCAAATCATGATTTTTGAATAATACGAGGATCGTCTCATGAAATGAAATTAGCATATCACATATCTAAACATTAATTTTTATTTCATAATTTTATATCAAAATTTCATATCGCATTTCAAACACCTGCTTAATAGTGAGTGCAAACTTATGGGTTAAAATAAGTGAGGTAAATCGTTAATTCTATCCCGGAAAAGAGTTTAAAATTATCCTTAAAACTATGTGTTAAAATTATTTTTTAAAATTAATCAACAAATAATTAAAACATTTAAACGTATTTAGAAAATTTACATCATCTCCTACTTTTTCAAAATTAATCAGTAATCAAACTTTTAAGAAGTGCTTTTAAAACATTATTTATATGTATTTAGAAAATCTTCATCATCTCCTACTTTTTGGAAGCAAGCACTTGACCAAACACCTCACTGTTTAAAAGAGAAAAGGGTAAAATATGTCCTCTTAAACTGCATTTATCGTCAATAATTTGGTCAATAAATGTTTCTATAGTTATAAATGTATTAAAATGTCTTTTTTAAAAATAAATATATATTTTTTTTAAACACATCTTTTTTCTAATTAAATTTTTTTTAAGAAACACTATTCTTGTTTTCTTTCTTCTAAGATCACTTTAACAAGTAAAAATGTACAAACTCTTTTTTTCTTCTTAATCTCACTTTATCAATTAAAATATAATAATTCCATGTACCATTTCGATAAAAAATATGTCATATATATAAGATCATAGTATATTTATCACTAATTTATATTTATATAACGATAAAAAAATATTGATTATAAAATAATCAATATTTTATTTGGAAAATGAATTTTTTTGACTCATTAATAATATGGCATTTTGGACTAAAATATTGATGACAAATATTTTTAGACCAAACTACAAATTGAAATTTTTTTTGTACTTTCTCATAGTTTAAGGATATTTTTAAATTAAAATATTAACGGTAAAAATATTTTTGAATCAAACTATAAACGAAATGTACTTTTATTCTTTTCACGTAATTTAAACATATTTTTAACTCTTTAACCTTTATAAAATAGATTCTTTTAAATTAACAAAGTATTACTATCACCTCTCAAAGAGCTAATCCAAATAAGCTTATTACCCTCCATTAAAAATTGGGGCCATTTATAGCCTTTTCGTAAAAATAGTGGCTCGTAAATATTTTCCTAAACTAACGGCTCCTACATAAAAAATAAAAAAAAAATAAAAAAATCACCTGCAGCTGAGTTGTTCGAAATTGAATATCATATATATATTATGAATCAAAAAGAATTTTTATTTAGTTTTATTAGCATGAGATTTAACACATGTCCCAAATAAAAAACCATCGTCCCCTATTATAAGATTCCTTCCATTTGTATCAAACTAATTAATTTTATTAAAATAGTTTAATGGCATATAGATTTTTCTACTACGTCCGGGTAAGTATAATTTAAATTTTTGTAAGCAAAATTCATCTGTAAATTATACTATTATATGGTGATGTGTGTGTTGACAGTCCTTATTTTTATGGACTGTTTTGTAGTTTTTTTTTTAAAAAAATTATTATTATTGTTATTGTTATTATGCTTTTGCTTTTTCTCATTTGTGAACATGATTGAAGTGGTCCTTCTTTGTTCTTCTTAAAGCTAATTTTGCATGTGACACAACTAAAGTATTGGTAATTGTTAATTCAACCGCTCAGATATAGCATGTTTGAATTGATTTATTTTAGGTGATTTTAAATTAAAATAATTTTAAAGCAATTTTATGGTATTTGGATAAAATAAAAAGATATTTATGAATAATCATTGTTCAATTAAAATATCAAAAATCATAGCTAAAAATCCATCCGTACATGCTCTTAAGGATCGTTTGTGTGATAGATAAGGAAAAATAATTTTGAGATAAATTTTTAGTACGTACCCATGAATTATTTGGTTGGTTACAAAGTGTGGAATAACTTATTGCAGAATTAATAATTATGTCTGGGATAAGTTATATCTATCTGTGGGTGGAAATTGGAATACTAATTCCAAGATAACTTATCTCGGGATAAAAATGTAAAATAACAAAAGTTTACATTTTAACCCTCTTTTATAAAAAAACAATTTATTTTTAGAAAGGGAAAAAGATCAAATATGCCCCTAAACTATTCGAAAAGGTCTAGATATACCCTACGTTTAATATTTGGTTCACACATATCCTCGTCGTCCAAATTTTGGCCCATATATGCCCCTAACTCATTTTTTATTTCTCTAAATGTCACATGGAATTGTCATGTCCTTATGAATCATATATTTATTCGTGAATTTTTGGTGTAAATTTTATATT